TTTCTGCTGGGATTTTGGGACTGGAGCACCTAGGTCTGGTAGGGCAGAGATGGAGCCTTGAAAACAACTGCCCTCCCCATGCTCTGGGTCAGATAGGAGGGGGAAACTATGAAGTCTGGTCCCCCAGCACGTGTTTACTGTGGGTTGTGTACTACCAGGCTACCACACGTACTGCCACTATCTGAAAATTGAGGTCAGCCAGTCCCACCCGGTGATGAAAGCCTTTTGCTTGCTGCTTCTCCAGCTAGCTAGGCCTGAGGGACCATCAGGGCTCCAGGCCAGCAACGTGGAAGAAGGTGAGACATTCCTACCATCACTGGGGGGATGTATGGCCATCACTGTGGGGTGGCATTCGTGTTCCCTTTGCTGCTCCTCTAGAGATGCTGTTGGTGACTTGGGGTAAAGGGACCATCAAGGGTTGTGGTTCTGCTGCTCCCTCCACTCTTGCACCATCTCCTCTGTTTGGTGGGTGACCATCTCCATCCAAGGACCTGCCCCCATTCCTCTGTTCATGCAAAGGGAGGATGGAGCTCCTCTGCTTTCACCTCAGGGTGTAGATGGCATTTGGGCAGCCCCAGGGAGGGGGAACTGGGGCTGAAATCCTTCCCCTTTCCCATCTCCTTTCAGGCATCCAGCTGATGCAGCCCAAGAAGTTCCCACCAAGCAGAGCCAGGTTCAAGCAGAGCCGAGCCCGGTGGTGGCTGGCCTACACGCTCCTCAACAACCCCTCACTGACGGCTTGCCGGAAAACCGTCCTCTCTGACCCTACAGCCAATGGCACCCAGCTTGGCACTCCCAAGCCCTGATCTCTGGAGAAGTCCCACACCTCTCCCTGCCTCCCATGCATACTCCTGTCCCATCCCATCCCTGTCTCCCATTGACTGTCCTCCTGCACTGACAGGAGTTCTGGGCACCTCTTGCCCTTTTTCAGCCTCTGGTCTCTCTCCAGCAAGGCTGGGGGCTGGTTTTTAGCTCTAGGTCCATGCTGAGCCACTACCAAGGTCCAGAGGTGAAAAGACAGCCAAAGCAAAAGGGTCACCTCCATGCCTGACCTGGATGGAAAGGAACTGATGCCAAGTTAAACCCTTCAGATATCTCAGAAACAACTTATTGAGAGTCACTCCTGCAATGAGCCCATTAGTTCTTAGTTGCCTTTCTGATGAGTGGCAAGGCAGGCACAAGTCCCCAGTACCAGGGCAGTAAGGAAAGAGGAAGAAGGTGATCTGTGTTTGTGTGTGTGGAGGGATCTTCAACTGGACTGAGCATGAGGAGCTACCTCCATCTCCGCATGATTCCCCTGCAGAGAAAGTCCCTACTGCCAACCTCATTTTCAGCTTATATTTTTCAGGTCTGATCCTGGCTCTCCTCAGGCACCTAAATCATAGACTTCTTTTTTTCCCCAATTTTGTGAAGGCTGAAATCCTCACCTGCTCTGCGCCACAAGATTGAGGAACCATCTGTCTTCTCCTCCCTGTAATTCTAGTCCCATTGGTTCATCGTCCTGCCACCCTGTTTTGTTTAAAGTCAGTGGTTTCCCAGGGCCAGTGACTCTCTGAGTGAATGGAGCTTGAATCCATAGAAGACTGTTTTATGCCTCACTTGGACATGTCAATCTGGGGAAGGTTAATAAATCACATACCTCATTCCTATACTCAGGGTGTGCTTGGTCTATTGGCCATTCTCAGATAAATCAGACCTGGCAGGAGGGACATGAGGACTGTCATAGCCATGTATCTGGGTGATGTTTGGGACTCACCTTGCTCCAACCATGTGGAGCAGAGGCTTTGCAGTAGATCTGCTTGACCTGGATGTGATGGGACCAAAGCTGATCGGTTTGCTTTCCTATCAAAAATGTTTGGCCCCTAAACCACAGCTCCCACAAAGGATGGGAACTGACAGGACATTTAGTGGCTAAAGCACCAAAGGTAGAGGTCCAAGGTGGGGTGAACCACCTCTTCCATTGATGTGTCCCTTCCCAGGACCTGAACCTGTTCCTTTTCCATCCCAGCAAAGGGAGGGAGGTCCCTGTCTTCATCTGCTGCCTGGAGTCGCTGCCGGTGCACTTGGATGCTCAAAACCTTGCTGCCTCCACTGTCCACTAATCAAATATGGTTAAAACAGCCCTGGTTTAATCGTATTTGATTACTGTCTGGCACATAGTACAATGTCATCACGCTGGATGACAGCGGTGGCACTGGAGGCAGATCTGGGTTCTTTTCTTTAAGACAGCAGGAGCCTGAGGTGCAGTTCCTGCTGTTTTCCCAGCTCTGGGCTTTGTGTGTCTGAGCACAGAAGAGATGTGATGCTGATGGGTGCTGGGTGCTGGGTGCCCTGCATGTATCAAGTGAAGGGGTGCCCTAAAACCAAGGCTCCACCTTTCTCGTGCAGCCCATTCCCACCCAGTTCCAGCCTCTGAGGCAGCCTTGGTAACCGACAGTCTTTGTCACCCCTAACATCTTTCCCAGCTCTGGGCCATGGGTGGAGCTGAATTTCTGCATCTGTTTACACAGCCCTGCCCCAGGCTCCCTGGAGGTGTCTTGGCAGGCGGTATGGGTTGGGTCTGAGGTGCAAAATGACAGCCCTGGGAGGAAAACAGGAGGTGGCTTCAGTGATTTGCTTGTTTTCTTTCCCTTTGACACAACCAGGGTGGCCTGGGGGTCAACAGAGCTTCTCTTCCTCATGGTGGCTTCTCATCTCCTTTCTAACCCCCCCATATCGGTATGGCCATGGATAGCTCTGCCCCTGTGCATCCTCAGTCCTCCCCACTGAACCTTGAGCTGAAGGCAAGGAGGTTCAGGGAGCTGATCTGGCTGAAAACAGCCCTTAAACTATATTTTTAAAAAAAACTATGTGGGGAATGGAAATTCAGGTCAGGATTTGCCAATGTGAAAGATGGAGAGGAGCTGATAGGAGTTGTGGCATCCCAGACTTTTCTGGTGATGAAACAGCCATGCACCAGCAAAGCCTCAGGGAGCAGGATCTCTGCAAGGCATGCAGAGACTTTCAGGCATGGCTGAGGGCTGCTGAGAGCCTGAATTTTTTAATGTTTTGTTGTTTTGGTTTTTTTCCTTATCTCAGCCTCCAAACCCTGTTCCCAGCCGAGGTTGCAGGAATAAGGTCCCATTCCCTGTGATTCCCAGGCAGGGAGGGAGGGGAGGACCCTGGCTGGGATAAAATTGTTGTTAAATGTTGTATCCTGCAAAATGAAACTGAAACTCACGCTGGGGCCGCGATGTTTTTCATCCTTTCTGCTTGTAATGGGAAAAATATGTGCCTGCTTCTTAGCATGAAAGGCTGTTCGTGCGAGGAGCTGCTGTCTCTTTCTGCCCTGGGACCCCTGTGGAGACCTCGGCGCCGTACTCTGGCAGCGTTGGCTTGTGGCAGCTCCTCATCCTTACCCTATGAGCTGGTTGGACACTGACTTGTGGGGCTGGAGAGCTTGTGTGGAGGCCTGAGGCTCCGATTTTGGTGTTGCTGCTTACCCATGCCTGCTGCGGGCAGTGATGAGGGAGTTTTGGGTACCCTATAAATGCACCCTCCCTCCGGAGAGTCATTGTAAGGGGAAGCTACAGCATGGGGGGAGCTTTGAAAGGGGGAAGAGGGACTGGTGATGAGCTGTGGTATCTTTGATGATGCTGGGTCTGGGAGATTTCGGGGTGCACACAGAGAGCACACACCAGTATGTTGTTGTTGTTGTTGTTTTTGTTAAAAAAAAAAGGTATTTATTGCTGTTTGTACAGCTTTGGTTATAAGGCAAGGGTGGCTGCAGAGGTCCGTCCAGCTCCCACAGGCGAGTGCTGGCAGAAGGCACAAGGACTAGACCACCCATGCCTTGGAGCGGGGGAGATGCTCAACGCCACCCACCATGAGACAAGGGGTATCCCAAGACCCCGGGTGTGGTATATATATATCCCGCATGGGAATGCTAAAGCACTTAAGTAATGTGTTTATGGCTTATGTGTTAGCTCAGCTTCTCTCTGCCATCTGGGTCTTTTCAATCCTTCTTCCTTCATCTCCATCATACAGCCCCTGCTCAGTTTCTCTTCAGAGAGGAGCACTGGAGAATTATTTTGGGCTCAATTCCTCCCTGCCAGAGTCAGGGTCAGAGCCAAAGCAGTGCAGCTCAGTGGGTCCAGCCCAGCTGAGCATTTTGGGCCACAGGCTTCAGCGGTGAAAGGGAAGAGGTGGGGAAAAGTCAGCTGCATCACATCTGGGAGAGGTACTGAGGGTGGCAGGGAGGGTGCGGGCATCCTGGGTGCTGCCAGCACCCACCCAGCAGGAGTGCTTTGTCCTCCTGCAGGGATAAAACTTGTGGAAAAGCTTCTGCTCCACAAAAATAGCCTGATCCAAGCCTGTGGCTCCAGCCGACATGTCCTACTGTACCCATCCTGCTTACAAAGCACCATCAGATCTCTGTCCCCCTGGGACCCCATGCCCAGGCTATTCCTCTACTCTCAGACTAGTCCTTCTGCTCCTGGTGCTTCACGTGTGGTTAGTGGTAGGAAGGACATGCCTGACCAAGGACCTGGGTGCTGGTGATGGTGGGGATGTCATCTTTGGTGCTGTTGGACAAATGGGATCCTCTTTGTGAGGGGTTCTCTCCCTGGTCGCAGCTCACTGCTGTGGGTGGAGAAGGGCTCATGGTGGTGGGCTCTGGGCACGGGTGATCGTCAGCTTGTTGAAGGTAGACTTTAATCCTGCAGCTCCACTATGATCTTGGGAGGGAGATAAGAGGTGGCAGGTTCGGATGCCTGGAAAGCGGCAGCATGGCAAGGATCTGCTCTACATCATCTGAGATTGTTTGAAGCTCTCAACAATCAGAGCCCAGCGCTGACCTCCATCTAAGGAGGGGTTGAACTACCAGCTCTGGGCCTGAGTCTTGGCCCCCTTTGACTCCTGACCACCCACAGTTCCCAGAAGCTCAGCAAAGGCATTGCACTACGTCAAGGTAAATACTACAGAAAGAGGGGCAACCCCCAAGGCACCATTTCTTTCCCCCTTTAACAGCAGAGAATGATGCCCAAAGCCAGCAGGAAGGTCCCCAGGTGGACCTGCGGCATCGCTCCTCCAGCTTTGCTCTTCGACTCCCTTGGCATGTGGTAAATGATCACCAGCTTTTCTCCGGCACCAGAGGGATCCATTCCATCCCCCTTGTAGCAGCTCTGACCCCCGAGGTGACTGGCTTGGGGGTCATCTTGCAGAAAGTCTTCGGCTGGATTCTCCGACCCAGCCAAGGCCACATTGACCGAGACATCCCGCATGCCCACGTCATTGACAGCAAGGCAGGTATAGATGCCTTCATCCTCCTTGCTGAAGTTGGGGATGGCCATGGTGCCATTCTTGAAGACCAAGAAGTGCTCCTGGCTCTGCTTGACATTTCCATCTCGTGCCACGTTGGGCCCGTTGATCTCGATGCGGCGGCTGGAGGTCTGGATCTTCCACCTGATCTCTGGTGGAGGGCTGCCCGCCACGCTGCAGTGCAGGGTCAGAGTGAGGCCATTGTACATGACGGTGTTGTCCAGGTTGGAGAGGTAGGTGAGCTGCACAGAGGGGGCAACGCAGTGGTGGTCAGGGATGTCTGTCACTGCCCTGCCCTTCAGCCTGCCAGGAGCCACGCACAGGGTAGACCCCCCTTTTGTGATGGAGACTGAGGTGATCTCAGTCCACTTCTTCAACCAGAAGACCTTGCAGGAGCAGTTGAAGGGGTTGTTGAAGATCTGCAGCTGGGACAGGGAGGGCAGGTTGTCAAAGGTGCCCTCCGCCAGGGTGGTCAGCTCATTGTCATTAAGCCAGAGGGAGCGCAGGTCCTTCAAGGAGCGGAAAGCATCCCAGGGCAGCCCAGCCAGGCGGTTGTTGTTCATCTTCAGGATCTGCAGACTGCTGAGGTTACGGAGGTCCTGCCAGGGGAAATCCACGATCTTGTTGTGGCTCAGGTCCAGGTTCTTCAGGTGCAACAACAAGGCAAAAGCTCCTGGCTCCACCACCCCAATCTGGTTGTAGCCCAGCCACAGTGACTGTACTTCAGGAACCTCGGCGAAGGAGCCCTGTCCCAACCAGCCGATCCTGTTGGCTGACAAGGTGAGGATGGTCACATTGGAAGACAACCCCTCGGGTACCTCCTGGAGATCCTTGTAGGCGCACTCAGCCAACAAACGCCCATTCTTCTTGGTGGAGCAGGAGCAGGTACTGGGACAGGGCAGACAAGACCCCAGGAGTGCAGCCAGCCCCAGGCAGCAGAGCAGGGTCCTCATACTTTCTCCTGGGAACAGAGTGAGAATGAATGGGATGGGTCTAGCTGAGATGGGGTTGTTTTTTTTTTTTGCCAAGTACTATGAGGAAGCAGCAGAAGAGCAAAGCATCGACATGCTTCAGCTGGAAAAAGCTGTTTGAAATACTGAATATGTAGGAAATATTCCCTAATCTGAAGAAGGCATTTCCTTGCCAAACACAGAGCCTTTGACTACTCTGGGAGTGAGGAACTTCCTCCTAAATCCTCTCCTTCCCTCACCAAAAAAGAGGTATTTTTGATCTTTAAGGAAATCGAGATGTTGTTTCTCCAGGTTTTGAGATGAAAATGGGAGCTGGGGATTCAGCATTCACCTCACTGAGGCTGGATTTAGGGGAAATGAAGCAACTGCAGCTCTTTCACAACCAGCCTTTCCCCTCAACCATTCTCTTGTTGGGATTTTCTGCACGCTTTCAGACCTCAAACCAATCCCCCGTCTACATATTTTTTCACGTCATGGAAAAAAACCCAACAACTTATCAAGTGCTTTTTCGAGTGTGGGGTCTCTGGCTGCTGGAAGTCTTTAGAGGGAAATATTTCGGAGCTAACTCCTTCTTGCCTTGCACTGGGCCGTGCGCTGCTTGCTTCCCGGCGCCTGGAAGCTGTGTCCCACCAAAGAAGAGGTTAACTGCGGCTCGGGAGGAGCTGGCATCGAGACCCCTTTGTCTTGCTGCCTTGTAGGCAAGTTTTGCTGCTCCTTCCAGTCCCCAGCCCTGTCGTTTAAAGCAGGAGGTGGGGGGGAATATTTTATTGGCAATAGGACCTCCGTCATAACTGGGCTGGGGGAGGGCGGCAAAATGGGGTGTAAAGGGTCCTGTGATCACCCCAGGGCTGGGGTTCAGGGGCTGGGGAAGGAGCCGGCAGGGATCTGGGGATGATGGAGGGGTGAGAGCCCCGCAGTGTGTCTGGAGGAGAAGAATGGGGGGAGAAGGG